TTTCAGATGTGAAAAGATGCAAACTTCTATTTATTACTCAGGTGTATTTATTTGTTTACCTGCAGCCCACAAGTCATTCAGGACAAAATATCACACAAAAAAACATTATCTATAAACTTTCAGTATCTAAGCACATATGTACAAACTATAAAAGCAACACTACGGTCAGCATCAAAATCTGTCAAACAAAAGAACCTTTAAGATAATTGAGAAGTTGATCTGACCAATCTGCACTGGCAACTAGGAAGATCCATACTTTGTTCCCATCCCAAACCAAAATATATCTTGTAAACTTACATACACAAGACAGACAAGAGTTCATTGGGGGAAGAGGATCTGTAGGTAAAAGGATATATCACAGATACCTGGATTTTTCTTCTCTCATTTTTTCCCCATAACACAATGTTGCTGGGTAGAGAGGCAGCTATTGGCTCAAAGTCACCCAGTGAGCTTCTGAAAATGGACTTAAAATCCGAGTAACCTGAACATCAACCCACATTACCTCTCCACTTTAATTTTCAAGCAGCTCTGTCAGTTGTATTCTTTAAAGAGGTCCTGGAAATAAATGGTCATTTATCAGTTAGATACAGTAAACAAACCTATCTGCAAACACTAAAGATCTCTGCTTGGATGAGAACTATCAGAGCTATAAAAAGCAAATTAAAAAAATAGTAGCAGTCTGTTCCATATACCTTCCAATAAAGTTACACAGGTATTGCATGAAAATACCAAAGTCAACCATTTCCCCCCCCCCTTCATACAGTATTTTTAAGGAGCTTAATTAAAATATCTGCACCCTTATCTCGTATTCTATTACAACTGCAGAAAGCGAATCGTGATTACTTTACTCCCATTTTTAATTAAAAAAAACATGTACACTTTCTTTGCCATCTTTCTTATGAACTTTTCATAAGGAAGCCTGTGATTTTGAAAGCTTGACATTTATTATGAGACACTAAGTTAGCCACATATTGATTTATCATGCACCATCATCTTATTTTGTTATTCCTAGTGGTCTCTACGATGATCCATCCCAAACTTGGTCTTTTGGGTCTTCTAATGGCAGATTAATTGCCGTTGTAATTGAATATGCACACCTTGTTGTTGGTCATCCTCTACTTTCCTTTCATCTTTCCCAGCACTAGTCCTTTCTCCTTGGAGCTAGGTTTTGCAGAATGTATTCAAAGTAGTATAATTCGAGCCATGTGTGTGCCTCAAGTGACAACTCTGAATGTCCTTATTATCTATTTGGAGTTTACCTTTCTATTATCCTTTGCTTAGAAGTAATAAATAGTTCAAATTATTTATGGTAGCTTGTTCACCTCTGCACTCCTTTCATTCACACAAAATCTCTGCCTCCTTGGTTGCAGTACCACATCGGCTAATCCTGCCCCTAATTCTGGGATTAGCCTTGCTGTAATTCTTAATACAGTTAAAATATCAATTAAGTCGCTCAGGAGAATATCAGAAGCCCTTCAGTTTATGTAATAAATTAAATGATAGTACATGATGCATGAAAAGGGAATTCTCATAATAGTGAATTCATGCACCCAACCTAGAATTTTTACACATTTACAATAATGGAATAGAGGAAGTACTTCTAATATAGGTAGTCCTTGACTTATGACAACAGCTGGGCCCAAAATTCCAATTGCTAAGCAAGATAGTTATTAAATTGTGCTTCATTTTATAATGTTTTAGTTAAGTCAATCTGGCTTCCCCTATTGACTTTGCTTGTTGGATGCCAGCTGGGAAGGTTGAAAATGGCAATCACATGACCCAAGGACACTGCAACCATCATACATATATATCAGTTGTCAAGCATCTGAATTTTGATCATGTGACCATGGGTATGCTGTCACGATTGTAAGTGACCACAAGTCACTTTTTTCATTGCCATTGTAATATCTGATGGTTGCTAAATGAGTAGCTGTAAGTTGAGACTACCTGTAGTGTACATATACTTTTGCTGTTGTCCACTTTTGGGAGTTGGAAGTTACAAAGTTACTTTTTAAAATGATAGGTAGGTAGGTAGGTAGGTAGGTAGGTAGTTATACCATTTCCCTGAAAATAAGATCTATCCCGAAGACCCTAGCATGTTTTTATGTGTGCAAGCCCTACTTCCCAAAATAAGCCCAATTTAAGAGCCTGCGCAGCCACCTACCCACCCGTTCCTCCTGGTTGCTCATGGGGCCATGGCCATGAGGTGAGGGGGGTGGAGCTTGACTCAGAGCCCCTATAGCCACGCCATCCATGCCCTGACACTTGCCTTGTGGCAGCAGCACCAGCAGCCATGTGCAGTAGGAGCTCACTTCTTCTGCTTGCTTGTGGCTGCAATGGAGGCCAAGCAGCATATTGATGCTGTGGCGATGAGGTGAGGCAGGTTTCATGGTGTGGATCAGCTGGCTGCAGGGCCCTAAAGTAAGCCGGTGTGAGGTACATGGGGCAGCTCTACCCTTCACCTCATAGTCATGGAGGGAGGGAAGGAGGGAGGGAGAGATGAGAGGGAAGGAGAGGGGGGGAGAGAGAGAATATGTACATTTATATATACGGTAATCATAGTCCTCTACTTACAACTGAGCCCAGAATTTATGTTGCTAAGTGAGAAAATTATTAAGTGAGTTTTGCCTCATTTTCTTGCCCCATTTTCTTGCCCCATTTGTTAAGTGGATCACTGCAGTTGGTAAATTAGTAACACAGTTGTTAAGTGAATCTGGCTTCCCCACGGATTTTGCTTGTCAGAACATCACAAAAGATGATCACATGACTGCAGGACACTGCAACCGTCATAAATATGAACCAGTTGTCAAGCATCCAATGTAAATCGCGTGACCATGGGGATGCTGCAATGGTCATAAGCATGAAAAATAGTCATAAGTCAATTTTTCAATGCCTTTATAACTTTGAATGGTCACTAAAGGAACTGTTGTAAGTTGAGGACTACATATATATGACATGACCAATTCTCATATATATGAAACCTGTTAGGTTACTTTGGAAGTCTTCTAGTCCAACACCCTGCCCATGGCAGGAGATCCTATATCAGTGACAGCAAATCGTTTTGGCACAGGGTGCCAAAAAGGGAGCACTTCGCGCTCGTCTGGGCCACAACGTGCTATAGGTACGCCATCACAGTCCTATACCATTCTGGACTTTCTTTTGGCTTGATGGGATAAATACACATAATCACAGAAAGAATAACAGAATAACCAAACAGAATAATAAAGTTGGAAGGGACACCAGAGGTCCTCCATTTCAATCCTCTATTCAAGCAAGAGACCCTGTATCAGTGATGGCGAACCTATGGCACGCGTGCCACCTGTGGCACGCGGAGCCATTTGTCAGGGCACGCAAAGTGCTGCCCTGTCAGCTGGCCAGCGTGCATGTGTGTGCCGGCCAGCTGAGTTCACCCTTTTTTAAAGCCATTTTTCCCACTCCCCAGGCTCTAGAGGCTTTATAGGAGCCTGGGGGAAACGAAAAGAGCCTCCCCCGTCTACCCAGAGGCCCTCAGGAGGCTTCATGAGCTTTCCTAAAGCCTCCAGAGTGCAAAAAACTGGCCCTATGGGCAAACCGGAAATTCAGGAACAGACTTCCGGTTTGCTCGGAGGGTCACTTTGACTGCTCCGAAGCTCCAGAGGGCTTTGGGGGAGGGGACGGGGGAAGGTGTTTTCACCCTCCCCAGGCTCCTATAAAATCTCTGAAGCCTGGGGGGAGCAAAAAAAGCACGTAAAAAATGAGGGGGTCGCGCCTGTAGTGCATTCACGTTGCATTATGGGTCCGGCACGCCTGCACACAACCCCCCTGCGCTCCCCCCACTTATGGCACATGAACCAAAAAGGTTCACTATCACTGCCCTATATTTCAACCAAATGGCTGTCCAATGTCTTCTTAAAAACTTTCAGTGATGAAGCTGTTCCATTGGTTAATTGTTCTCTGTGTCAGGAAACTTCTCCATAGTTCTAGGTTGCTTCTCTCCTTGACTAGTTTCCACCCACTGTTTCTTGTCCTGTTTTCAGTTGTTTTGGAGAATAGGTTGACCCCCCACATCTTTGTGGCATCTCTTCAAATATTAGAACACTGCTATCATGTCATCCCAGTCCTTATTTTCACAACAATTTTCCAACCATTCTTCATAAGACTCCATGATCTTTCTTGTTTTTCTCTGCATTCTTTCCAGAATGCTCAATGCATGATACAATATTTCAAGTGTGATCTCCTCAAGGCATTATAAAATTGATATTAGAAAGAATAGCTTTATCTGCTACTAGCTTTAACTCATTTTTGGCAACCACATACTTTCTCCAGTCAAGATAATTAATGACCAACCATTCCAAATGCATACAACAGTGGTCTAACAGCTGAATCCGCAAGGTCTTAAGTTATAGAATCCAGACCAAAATTCCAAATAAGATTATGAATCATTATGAATCAAAACTGGAACAAAAGAAGTCTGGCATACTTCAGATTAAGAAATATACACACACACACACACACACACACACACAGCTCACTGCATTTGCCTATGGCAGTGTTTTTCAACCTTTTTTGTGCAAAGGCACACTTTTTTCATGAAAAAAATCACGAGGCACACCACCATTAGAAAATGTTAAAAAATTTTAACTCTGTGCCTATATTGACTATATATAAAGTGTTTTTCCCACGGCACACCTTACACTATGTCACGGCACACTAGTGTGCCACGGCACAGTGGCTGAAAAACACTGGCCTATGGGAATAAAGGGGGGGCTTGCATCCATTATAATATTGCTGAAACGATAACTCTTATTATATGAAAATAATTTGTTATGCCTTTAGTTTTATTACAAAAAGAAAAAGGCACCAGAGTTTTCCTTTACCTAATAATAAGCAGCCAGAAATTCACAAGAATGTATTCCAACACCACCTTTATGGATACAATTGCCAAGTAAATGACTATATTTTTATAAAATCTTATGAAACATAAATAAATAGCTTTAATTTTGTGTGGTATCTAGTACACTTTAAGGGTACCCTAAACCAGAAAAGAACACAATGCAATGTTTCAAACATTCACCTTCAGAGAAGTTGTCAAGATTCCTGCATGAGTCTGAAAGCTTGGACTTTGAAAGCCTGGTCCCAGTAAGAGACCCAGATTGGATCCTGTAACATTATCCTGGGATAGGTATATTTGCCTTCCTTCGTGAGAAGACTTTGAATTTAAACAGATTCCATCCCTTTCTCTGGGTCTAAAGAAACTAACTGTTTGCAGGTTCTATGATACTTATTTAGGGGAAAGAGAATAGAAAATAACACTCTTCTGCAATTTTGAAGAAATAGTTGCCAAATCGAATTATATCAGGGAGGAGACAAGGCATTTGTAAGGCCTTCATTTATATCTTTCTGAATTATAGTTCAAAGACTACGTTTTACCAGGTTGTTGCTGAATTAGCTCCACAATTCTTTCACTTCCCTCTTAAATCTTCAGATGCATCCTCTCTTCCCAGCCCCACCCACTTCCATCCAATCTCTGGATTGATCGACTCCCCAAAATGGGCGGGGAAAAGAATAGACCGCACTACCAACCACAAGTGATTGGCATAACCGGACAAGCCCCTCAAATCTAGTTATTTAGGAGGGGAGGTGGAGAATAGGAGGAGAAATATGAACTCCACCCTTATTTTATGATGCAATGTGGAAAAGACAGAGATCCAGTGCTGAGAAACAAAATTTCTAGCCCCAAAGTTTGTCTTTTTTTTTCTTTTTTTTCTTTTAGTAAAATGAGCGAAGATTTGTGTCACCAGTTAAGAAACACAGCACGTTTTGGGCATTTCCAATAGTCCCTCCCCACTACACCAGCGGTGCGCGTGCCAAAAAGAGAGGAAGAAAGGAGAAGGCGTGCTTTATTAAACTAAGAGAATTCACTTCTCAAAAGACAGCTCAAGCCTCCCAGCTACCCAATCGTAAGCAAAGGGCCTCGAATTACTGCAAAAAGACCCCCGCCTTTCTTACACAACCCCCGCTCCTCTACACGAGAAGGCGCCTTGTATTCAGTTGCTAGCCCGCTCCTCAACCACAGCAAACGGAAAGCGAGGCACGACCCAGCCTCTCACTTTTTCAGGCAAGACTTACCTGCCAGGTTCCAAGCTCTGCTCCAATAGCCCCTCTTTTTATCCTGTCGCCTCCCTTTCCTCCTGGGAGACGGAGAACTCGAGCGAGCTGGGCGCCCCCGCCCCCTCTCCTTCCACACTCTCTTCTGACCGTGCAGATCGGATCAAGTTTAGGGCGGACTAAGAACGGCGTGCAAGAAGAAAAAGAACTGGGGCAAGCAAGGAGGAGATCCTCTTGCATCAGCACCCGGAACTTTCTTGGAGGCGAGGGGAGACAAAAAAGAAACTTCTGGCTTCCACACGTACACAAAAACCCACGTACAAATAACCTAGCAAGTCCGGTAGGAGTGAGAAGAGTTTGAGTCTTCTTGTTCTTTCGTAAACATATATTTACCGTTGTTTATTGGCTTTCCTCCTCAAAGTTCCTTGTATTAAATCGGGACTATTTGTCCGAGCCGCCGCCGCCGCCCGCTAACACTTACTTGGTTGCTCAGCTGACTCTTCCTAACTCACAGACGTTCCCCTCCCTCTCCCCTTAACTGGGCCTTAAGCCCTCCCATCACCGCGCCTCCCGCTGTCTGCTTTACGCAGTCGCAAGCGATAGCTCCTCGGCCATGTATGCTTCGGGAGTTCTCCCAGCGGATTCTAGGAGCCTGTAACTTTTTCTGAGACTGAAGAGCTTGTGCCGTTTTCCCACGTAGCCAAGGAGCGCGTGCTGACGCGCGCGCACGCATCGGCATTGGAAGTGTATCCGAGCACGCAGGACATTATAGGCTTCCTTAATATGGTTGGGTTTGGACTGGAATCTGAACTTAGCCTCATTTCGTTAAATTTGGAATGTTTTACAAGCAAATATGAAGCCTCCTTGTGCGAGGCGGAAATCACTTCCCAATAAGCATATGTGGGTTAGCTACACACACACACACACACACACACACACACACACACACACNAATACAGCATTTTTTGCCTCCCAAAATCCCTCCCCCTTCACCAAAATGTCTGTGCATAGCTTTTAGGAGGCTTCCAGAGTGCTGCTGGGGAGGGCAAAAATGAGTGAAAAACAGGCTGTTTTTTTGCTTGTTCCCCCCTCCCCAGGAGCACTCTATAAGCCTCCTAAAGGCTATGCAGGCCCTTTTTTTTGACAAAAAAATGGGCCTGTTTTCGCAAGGTCTACAGAGTGCAAAAACCTTTTATTTAAATTTGCTTCTTCAAAATCTTGGTGCGTCTTATACTCTGAAAAATATGGTAGGTTCTCACATATTGGTTTAGAGGGCCACCTTTCTACACAGCTTAGATTCCATTTGCCTCCTACTGTTAGTTGCACGTCACCCAGAAACAAGATTTCTCTTCCGAAGCAGTGTGTTCCTCAAGAGAGAACTACTTACCTAGGTTAGCATAATAGTAAGGGAAATCTCCCAGATATGATGAATACTGTGGCAGTACGAACAACCCCCCGGGATGTTTGTTCCATATTAAACTGTTACGGGATATGTGCTTAAATATTCTGTCTTGAATAATCTGCAAAACAAGAAGTTAAAATGACATTTAGCAAACTTTTTATGGAAAAAAGCAGAACCCTTTAATCAAAGCCACCGAGAGGCAGATTATTTAGAATTGGTGTGGAATCTTCTTGCCACACACAACTTCATTTATCTCATTTATTGAATCAGACACTGTGTAAAAATTAGGATCTGACTAACACAGAATAGTTCTAGTTTCCAAAATGCACAAGCCATTGCACAGACTGATGGATTATTTCTGCAATTTTGCCATCAATATATAACATAAAGACAGTCGTAGCTTTAAACTGAATGAGAACTGTTTCTGAAAGGCAATGTTTTTAACCTACATATTTCTGTTCTCCTTCCCAGGCTAAAAAAAAATCTGCCATTATAGTAATTTCAGAAATACAAATTGCACAGAAAACTTTGCAATGATAGTATTCCATCATTGGCCCAAGAAAAATCAGTGACAACTAATGTACTGTTGTAATTTCATGGTATTGTGGAAGAAAATGTAAGGTTTTCATGCTAGGATTCAAAATCTAGGACCCTGAACATTTCAGCTTCCCTTAAGTTTATTTTGTTTTAAAACATCTCTCAAGATATCCTTGTTAAAGTGGAAAATCCTGTTTCCTGATATTTATTACAGAGACATTGGTGCTTCAATGTGCTCTATAAATCCAGGATTTCCCCCCTAACTAGAAAAGGAATCATGTTGCAAAAATCACTGAAAAGACAAGCTGCAATGGAATATGCACACTTGCTTAATTGAAATAAAGTACTACTGTATTTCTTTCTCCTTTGCTTAGATAGTTTGATGATTTCTTTGTCCAATACCACAGCAAACACAGAGCATCTAACAAAGATCCTTGATAATAAAAATCACTAAATCCTGAATTTAAGAAACATAGTTTGGTTCTATATTTTGTTAGGATTCAAACCTGCTTAGTGGTTCTCATTTAGATCATTATAGAATCCAGGTTAGGCATCCACTATTTATCCAACTTCAAGTATAATACACTTAAAAAGGAAAAAAAATGTATAATCCCTAAATAACCATACTGTCTAGTGGTTCAGGCTGGAAATCAGGAGACTGTGAATTTTAGACCCAACTTGGCCTGAAAGTCTATGGAGAATAGAATAGAATAACAGAGTTGGAAGGGAGCTTGGAGGTCTTCTAGTCCAACCCCCTGCTTAGGCAGGAAACACCACACCACTTCAAACAAATGGCTATCCAACATATTCTTAAAAACTTTCAGTGTTGGAGCATTCACAACTTCTGGAGGCAAGTTGTTCCATTGATTAATTGTTCTAACTGTGAGGAAATTTCTCCTCAGTTCTAGGTTACTTCTCTTCTTGATTAGTTTCCACCCACTGCTTCTTGTCCTACCCTCAGGTGCTTTGGAGAATAGCTTGACTCCCTCTTCTTTGTGGCAACCCTTGAGATATTGGAAGACTGCTATCATATCTCCCATAGTCCTTTTTTTCATTAAACTAGACATATCCAGTTCCTGCAACCGTTCTTCATATGTTTTAGCCTCCAGTCCCCTAATCATCTTTGTTGCTCTTCTCTGCACTCTTTCTAGAGTCTCCACATCTTTTTTTTCATAAATATGGTGATCAAAACTGGATGCAGTATTCCAAGTGTGGCCTTACCAAGGCGTTATAAAGTGGTATTA